AGAGAGAGAGAGAGAGAGAGAGAGAGAGAGAGAGAGAGAGAGAGAGAGAGAGAGAGAGAGAGAGAGAGAGAGAGAGAGAGAGAGAGAGTAGGCAAGTAGTAGGCGAGCTGCGGCTAAACAGCCCGTGCAGCCATGACCAAAACACTGTGTTTCATCGTAACAACACAGAACGAAATCAGAAAACAACTGAAAGTTGGCATGAACACCGCAAAAGAGCAGCACATGGGGAATCCCTCGACCGGTTTCGCCTGTCCCCGCAGGTCTCCTCAGGAGGGTGGCTCGAATGAGCCTTTGTGCTCGAAAAGGACGCTGAAAGCCTTGCCTCCTTGTATAAGTAGTGTTTCTCGGAGTGTCCCTCTTCCTTGTATGTCACGTTGCCTAGGCGTTCTTCTCCCCACACTCCAGGAAAACAAGAAAACGTCCTGCCCCTGCGCCTATCAAGATGCTTCTTCGTCCGTTATTCCCGAGCGCTCTCCCCGCTGACTTCGTACTCCCCATCCCAAAAGTCGCGGTATTTTCCACTATCTTCTAATCAGTCTCCCGTGTCTACACTAAGTGTCGGAAGTGGACCAGGTTCCGATCCCTATCAAAACCCACAAAACAACCATATCCGCATTCCGCGGGTCTATATCATATCCAAAATTACAAAATTTTGAAAAGTCCGATCGCGAAGCACCGAAAGTCAGAGAACGTTCGTGTGGAAAACCCAAATTCGTCCGCGAAGTCCGATAGCGTCATATCCCCCCAATGAAACCGGAAGGGCTCGCGCGACCCGAAATACGAGCAAAGCTTCCGAATGCTGCTACTCTTTTGGACCAGATAAAGCCGAAGACCGGAAAAGTAAACTAAAATCAGGTGCCGTCGGAAAAACAAAAACGTAAGCAAACGAAAGCGAACGAAAACAACCAAGACAAAATTACAAGAGTCATATTCAAAATTACAAAATTTTGAAAAGTCCGAACGCGAAGCACCAAAAGTCAGAAAACGTTCGTGTGGAAAACCTCAAATTAGTCCGCGAAGTCCGATAGCGTCATATCCCCCCAATAAACCCGGAAAGGCTCGCGCGACCCGAAACAAGCAAAACTTCCGAATGCTGTTACTCTTTTGGACCAGATAAAGCCAAAGACAAAAGAAAGAAAGAAAGAAAGAAAGAAAGAAAGAAAGAAAAAAAAAAACAAAGAAAGAAACCGCTGCTGTCCTAAGCCAACCGAATACTTCGGCCCCAGGTGTGTTAACCCAGCTACCTGTAACTGGGTGTTCTCCTCGTCCTTGCCGAGTACGCTATAGCCTCGTACAGGCGTTGCAGTGCCTGGTTCGGCACAGCTTTGGCTAAGTCAGCCAAAGCACCGAGAGAGACCTCCGGGGGGTAGCCCCGGAGGTCTGCCTCACACACGGCGTACCCGATCGCGCCCAGCACCAACTGCTTACTTGTGGCGTGGTCCCAAAGTCTCTTGATCATGGCCGTCAGTACTGCTTTCTTCACGCTCTTAGGTGAGTAAGAATCGTAGTCCTGCATCGTTTGGAATACGAGAGTGCCATTCTCGTATAATGCTCCGGTATTCTTAGTGCTTGGAGTGTAATGCAGCTGAAGAGGTTCTCCACAGATCATCATTGTACCTCCCACGAAATCCCACGTCAGTCCGCACTCATCCTTGCGGATCACTTCAAGGTGTCGGTCGTAGATCCCTTTGAATGCTTGAAACAGGTTGTCTAGATACTCGCCGTTGCGTGTGTTGTCGTTAGTACCTGCGATAATCGTAATGTCGTCCATGATCCTCCAACCACCCACCAGTCTTCTGTCGGCCCCTATCTCCCTAATGAAGCGCAGCTCAACCATAGCGCACGTGATAGAGGCGAGGATGGGACTAGTCGCTTTTCCCATAGGTATTCCAAAAACCTGTCTGACCAAAGTCGTGCCACATTTTACTACGGTGTGCCTGAGGTCGTAGTTCACGCCGTCCATTATCGTCTTGAGTGATATCCCTACGTAACCCTCCATCTGCTTCTTGTTGTTGCTAATCACACAGAGCTTGCCTCTAAAGGATACCCGCACCTGTTTGCAGTCGTCATCCTCGTACCTCCGCAGCAGTTGCTGCATGGCCTGGACCACCGCTCCGTGTGGAATGCGGGAAAACATTTCCTTTATGTCATAACATCTGCCCATCGCTTGGTCGCAACCAGCTGTCCTTAGTCGTTGTGAAGTAGCCTGTAGCCGTTCCGCCAATTCCGCTATGGAATTGAGGTAGAATGTGCAGTGCGCAGGTAGACGTTTCAGAAGACAATGGAGTGCCTTTGCTATCCTCCTCTGTGCAAGGCCAGCAAGATCGGCCGGAGCAGGTGCTATGGGTCGCCACCGTGTCAGGTCCTTGTGCTTGGGGATTACGTATGCCGTCCCCAGCCGTCCGTCCGCTTTCCATCCACCGACCTTCTGTAGTCCCGTCTTGATGAAGTCCGCCTTTTGCTCCTTCAGCAGACCTGGCTCTGATTTCAGATCGCCAACCGTTTCATAGTTATTGTTCCATGCGAATGTCTTCCCGAAGCCACGTCTATACAGTATAGGACACATCACCGCCGTATCCCCTTGATTTCGATCAATCGGTGCCAAAACGAGACCTTGGAATCTAGCATTCCAGATTCGTACTTCGTCATCAGTCCAGGCCGTCGCCTGCACTGGTCCCCTGGTGAATACTTTGTCGGGAGAGACCGAGATCGCCGCCCCTTGTGCGAGGTGCTTGGTCGCCTCTCGTACAGCTTCCCCTATCGTTCGATCGCTACATGCTCTAGCGGAACGTGTAACATTCTTTGAGTTCTTAACGAACCTCGGAACATCTAGTTTCGAAAATCGTGTCAGAACATGTACAACTTCCTTTGGTAGATGAAGTGAACTGCAGAGACACGGATGCTCCACAACTGATGCGTACTTTTTCTAATTATGTATGATCTCGGCTACATTCCTATTTTGCCGCCAGATCACCCTAATCCTAGTCTTGACGAAATCCGACAGGGGTCTATCCACGATCAGCTCGTCTATCACCTTCTCTGTAGTCTCCCTCACTCCGTTCCTCTTAATCCGTGAGTCATATGTTAGCCTAACATTTACCCTCTTTCTAATGCTAACCCCAGTTTTCCTCAGAACCACTCTGTCCAGTTTTGTCCTCAATTTGTGTTTTGTCTGTTTTTGTGTGAACAGTCCAACTGTCCCATATAGGCCGATCAGTTTCTTAGTACTGAGACTAACTAGTCGAGAGTCCGGTGTCGGTCTGCGCAAAATCGCTGCAAGCGTTGTCTTGTTCCGCTCCGTGGTCGTCTTCGTCCTCACCACTTGCTTGATCACGACCTCCGTTCCTTTCTGCAGTTCTCTTTTAATCTCCCTGAGCTTCCGAGTCTGGGTGTCCATCTTGATTAGAGTTTCGCCAAATCTCCGGTAAATCTTTCTCCATCCATTTGTCCACACAGAACCCTCTGTACTGGAGAGCCTTAGTCCACCTTCTCCAACGTGCCTCGTAAGCCAGCTGAGTAAGGAGGTGAATCTGTCTCCTTGGTGCTCGAAAAACACGACCTTTCCGACTCCTGTGTCCCCTTTCCTGCCTTTTCTCTCCCGTCTACCTTTTCGCTTTCTAACTCTGGCAAATTTCTCCTGTTTACCGACGTCTCGAGAATTGAGGCTCGGGTTGAAATCCGCAATCAGGAACCTCTCGAATTCAAGATCGTCGTTACTACCGGTGTGTCTAATCGGTATCATTACGTACTTATCTATCCCGAATTTTCTAAGCCACCTGTAGAGATGTGGTGTCAGACCTAGGGAGTCATTAAGCGCATTATGGATGTGTTATCGCCATCTCTGTATCATAGGCCTAACAGTACAACCTACATATGCTTTCCTAGTCCAGGGGCTTACCACTGCATACACCCCGCCCGAATCTAACCTTAGTAGACCACGAAGATCTTGTGCTCTTGCGAGGAATTTCTCCAGCCAGGGGATCTGTCCTCACGCCGTCAGTAACAGTGTAGCCGCTATGATCGCGCATTCCACGTTTCTGCCGATATCTCCTGTCACATTCCGTTGTCTTAACTTCGATCTCTGGTGTAACCATTCGCACAATTTCTCCCAGATTTCTGCAATTATGGCGCTCGTTAGTCGTCAGTCCGAGTCTTTCACCAGCTGCGTTGGTGTTGATCGTATAATCACCGACTTTTGCTTCGGTGTCTGCTTCTCCGACACGATCCTGTCTTTCGTAAACTCCCTTCGGGGCGATCCCGATGCCTTTGTCTTTGCCTTCGCGTCCGTCGGTGTCTTTTCCTGAACTTCTTCGAAGCCGTCATAGGCCAGTTCCACTTGGTGTCGGGCCAACATCTCCACCACCTCCGGCTTCTTCGTGTACTTCAGTCCCTTCTTTTCGCAAATCTTCCGGAGTGAGTCGGCCTTCTTAGCGGAGTAGATTTTGTGTGCGGATATGCAGTACTCAATGAGCCCCTTCTGCGAGCACCCAGCAGATAGTCCTTTGTATCCGCCGGTCAGCGGAGTCCGAGGTTCCGTCTCATCATCGCCTCTCGCCTCTTGCGCGTTCATAACCTTTATTGTTTCTGTCAAACGTGGTCTCGAGCATTCTCCTCTCTCGTGAGTCCTGACAAGGGTAGTGCCGTTTGTCGTTCCGTTCTTCCCGGTATTATTCTTCCCTTTATCTCTCGCCCGTCTCTTCTTACTGTTTCTTCCTCTCGGTCTCCCCTTCGTTATCTTCATCTCTGAATCTCTCGACAAAGTCGTGTCCGATGTCACAGATTCCGTCGAAGATGATGAGTCCGTGTCGGTATCCCCGCTGGACTCTCCCCCTCTCCTCTTTGTCTTCTTGCCCTTACGGTTTCTCCTCGTGCTCCAAGCTTTCTGCGTCGTCTTACGGATCTTCTTCTCCTCGTTCACTGCCTTCTCTGCTTTGGCATTGCTTCTCCTCCATTCTTCCATAAGCTCTACGCGCAGTTGGAGCTTGAACTCCTCCGCTTTTCTCGCGAAGTCCTGATTCCTTCGCAGCTCGTCTTCCTCCTTTGCCTTCTTTTCCTCTTCAATTCTACGTTTCTCCTTCATTTCTTGTCTCTCCTTTCAGACTAAATGGAAATGCTCCTTCATCTCCTCAAGCTCCGGGTCGCCATGAGTGGTCAAATACCCCCTACCGTTGCCACCCGTTGGACCTTTTCTCGCCCAACAGTCTCGCGCAAAATGCCCTATCTTTCCGCAGTTATAACACGTGACCCCGTTTCCTCCCATTTGCCCTACTCCCGATCTTATCTGCCCGGTGCCATTCCCTAGATTCAGCCCCGCCCCTCCGCCTAAACCTATGCTATTACCAAAGCCCTGACCTATATTATTGCTATTCCCTTGTCCGGCCCCCGCAGGGCCATTGGTGAGGAACATAGTGTGTCCCTAAGGTTACACTATGTCCGGTAAGTACTCCTTCTCGAAGATTGGCTAACTAGCCTATAGGTCCCGATATGAAACGTAAGTCAATGTCCTCTATTCCCTCCAGATATCCGCGATTTCTTGATATCGGATTCTTCGTCTCGCCCGCAGCGCAAGAAGCGTCGTCCCGATCTTGATCAGCGTGCTCATCAAGAGGTCGTAGAGCCCCGCGCGCAACGTCTCGTCTTGCACGAACCCGATCATAAAGTGCATAGGCTGGATCGTATCCCTCACGTAGTCCTCCAGTGCTTCAATGAGACATGTCCGTACACTCTGAAAAACTATGCGGTGTGTTCCACATGGCACACCGCATCTCGCGCATGGTGCCGACATCGTGTCACAGTCCGAGTCCGATGATAATCAGCCCGATCCCGAATATCATGACACCGAATCCGTAGAGGATTGTCTGTATCTTCACTTCCCGGCGCATCGCTCTCGATCCTTTCCGCTGATGTTGTACCCCGACGCAGTTTGAAAACTAAAATAAGGTCATCGTCAGAGCCTAAGTGCGTGCTTAACCATTCGTAGTTATGAGTTCAACGAACTTCAACCTCCAGATCTTGATCCGATTCTCCCGTGCCCGAAGGCCTTCTCCTCCTCCCCGTGTAGACGCAGCCACCAAGCAGTGCAGACAGCTGACGGTTACCACGCGCCCGAGAGTACGCGAGTTGCGGCTAAACAGCCCGTGCAACCATGACCAAAACACAGTGTTTCATCGTAACAACGCAGAACGAAGTCAGAAAACAACTGAAAGCTGGCATGGACACCGCAAAAGAGCAGCACATGGGGAATCCCTTGACCGGTTTCGCCTGTCCCCGCAGGTCTCCTCAGGAGGGTGGCTAGAATGAGCCTTTGTGCTCGAAAAGGAGGCTGAAAGCCTTGCCTCCTTGTATAAGTAGTGTTTCTCGGAGTGTCCCTCTTCCTCGTATGTCACGTTGCCTAGATGTTCTTCTCCCCACACTCCAGGAAAACAAGAAAGCGTCCTGCCCCTGCGCCTATCAAGATGCTACTTCGTCTGTCATTCCCGAGCGCTCTCCCCGCTGACTTCGTACTCCCCATCCCAAAAGTTGCGGAGTAGCCCCGTATTTTCCACTATCTTCTAATCAGTCTCCCGTGTCTACACTAAGTGTCGGAAGTGGACCAGGTTCCGATCCCTATCAAAACCCACAATACAACCATATCGCATTCTGCGGGTCTATATCATATCCAAAATTACAAAATTTCGAAAAGTTCGATCGCGAAGCACCGAAAGTCAGAGAACGTTCGTGTGGAAAACCCAAATTCGTCCGCGAAGTCCGATAGCGTCATATCCCCCCAATGAAACCGCAAGGGCTCGCGCGACCCGAAATACAAGAAAAGCTTCCGAATGCTGCTACTCTTTTGGACCAGATAAAGCCTAAGACCGGAAAAGTAAACTTCAAGTGCCGTCGGAAAAACGAAAACGTAAGCAAACGAAAGCGAACGAAAACAACCAAGACAAAATTACAAGAGTCATATTCAAAATTACAGAATTTTGAAAAGTCTGAACACGAAGCACCGAAAGTCAGAAAACGTTCGTGTGGAAAACTTCAAATTAGTCCGCGAAGTCCGATAGCGTCATATCCCCCCAATAAACCCGGAAAGGCTCGCGCGACCCGAAACGAGCAAAACTTCCGAATGCTGTTACTCTTTTGGACCAGATAAAGCTACTCTTTTGGACCAGATAAAGCCAAAGACAAAACAAAGAAACAAAGAAACAAAGAAACAAAGAAACAAAGAAACAAAGAAACAAAGAAAGAAACAAAGAAAGAATCCGCTGTTGTCCTAAGACAACCGAATACTTCGGCCCCAGGTGTGTTAACCCAACTACCTGTAACTGGGTGTTCTCCTCGTCCTTGCCGAGTACGCTATAGCCTCGTACAGGTGTTGCAGTGCCTGGTTCGGCACAGCTTTGGCTAAGTCAGCCAAAGCACAGAGAGAGAGAGAGAGAGAGAGAGAGAGAGAGAGAGAGAGAGAGAGAGAGAGAGAGAGAGAGAGAGAGAGAGAGAGAGAGCGAGAACGCGCAACAGGAGAAAAATCAGATGTGCTGCAGGTACTGCTCCCTATTTGCAAAATGAGAATGAATCTTCCGCAAAAACGCAGGTAGATTCTTTCTCATTCTTTCAAGTTT